GGTTCGAAATAGACGACGATGGAGGATTATTTTCAACAAAGATTGCACAAAAAGTCATGCACTAGAAGAAAGCTTTGGTTTCGTTCTTTGATTCATCTGCAGTGAACTTCACATGAATTGTGTAGTCATTGAAATAGTCCTACTGATCATTATATGCATGCAACAGTTCAATCTATGCAAAACCTCTATAAGATGAACACCTCTCATAATGAACACTTTTCGGGAGGCCCCAATGATGTTCATCTTATGGAGGTTTTACTGTATTATGATTGATGAATTTATGAAAAATTTAGCAAATGATTTAAAAGATGCGAAAAAAAATTGACAAAAACAAATAAGCATTATGTTTTAACTCAATCTCAAATAAATGAGTTTCAAAACTTTCAAAATAATAAAATGGATCATATTGCAAATAGTTTAAGTGAACCTTTCAATCAAAAACTTAAAAATGGTATTATTGCACCAGTTCTTAATTTTACTGCAAGTAAATTAATAAGTAAAGGAATTGAATCTTTTGTTGGTGCAGATCGGATTGAAAGATTAGCAAATAAATTTGAATTAATTCATGCAGCATCGAATTCTGATGATACAAAGACAAAATACGCAGATGATTTGGCCATATATTTAGCTGAAGCTAAAGCCATTGACATTAAAGCTCTTAATATAGATCAAAAAGATATTTATCCGGAAAATATTGATGGACAAAATTTACAACAAGTTTACGATTTATATGGTGAGAAAACAAAAACATTTGTTGATAAAAATGGAAAGATTTACGTACGAAGACCATCATCGAAAGAATATTATCAAAGTATAAGAGGTGATAAACTAGCAGGTTTACATGAACAAAAGAAAATATCGGAAATATTAGGATGTACAATAATAAAAGAAGAAATAATAAATAATGAACAAAAATGTATTTTGAAACGAGACAATGGTTCTAATGTTTCATTTGTAATTAAAGATAATTTAGATGGAACGAAACATGCTGAAATCATACTTGATGGCAAATCGATTAGTATAAACATAAATAGTGGAAATAAAAATGATTATTATTATAATATGTTGTATTAGTTGCTAATGAAATGTCTTAAGGTGAAACATTTGATGAAGCTATGAAAATTTTTGAAGATAAGAATGTAGTTAAACAATTAAGATACGATGTTTCATTGGCAATAAAAAATGATGAAAAATTATTAAAAGAATTTCGATGGACAAATAGAACTGACTTACAATCACATTTTAATAGTTTAACTGGTCTCTGTAAAAATTCTGTCAATGAAAAGTTAGAATTAAGTTATGATGATATAAAATACTTAAGATCGTGGATAGAAGCTGCTCAGCGTGAACAACCAGAAAAATATGAACGTCAGAAGGGATTCAAGGGTTCGTATGAAAAGGAATATTATTAGCTTTAAGTTGGCATCATATAGTGTCATGGGGAATGATTGTAGATATATTAAAAAATGACATTGAAAAGTTGAATGATAAGGAATTTAAAGATATAATGGAAAAATATTTAAACGATCCTGGCAATGTGATAAATAAGGAATACATATTGAATGAAATGCGTCAAACGAGACTAGATCGAAATCTAACAAAGCATAATACACCAAAGGATAAATATATTCTACGATAATCAATTGTATGGAATCCAAATATTGTCATTCCTGGTCCTGGTGGTAGTATACGTGTACATGATCCAGATCATGGCGATGAAGCAAGCAAATTGATAAAGAATTAATATCGATACGTCATGTTAATGTACTTGGTAATCAAGATGAAATATCAAACATATTGAACAAAATAGCTGCAATGAATGTACTATCCAGAGGAAGAGGGTACATGGACAAGAAAGCTTGACGATGAAAAGAAAAGATTTACTTTTACAGAAGATAGAAATATTGAAGGAAATCCTTATCTCGATTTTCGTGGTAAAAAAATCAAAGAAAATTGAACTTACCAGATAGAGAATTAAATTAGATCTCATGAACTATCGTTTTTATTTGTTATAGTTTTTTTTAGCTATGTTTATTTTTTTTGATAAATCATTTCAAATATAATTCTATATTTTGCTTAGATCTTATTCTAATTTCAAGATTGCAAAATCTCAAAATAAAAATTCTGTTTAAGATCTCCAATTAACTCCGAATGTTGAATTCATAAAAATATACGTACTTACAAGTTTTTATTTTGCTTATCAAAACTGTAGTCGTAATATTTTAAGAACAAAAGTTACTTGGAATTCGATCATTAGCATCGGGATAGACTCTGAGATCGACACTACAAAATTTTGAAGCACACTTCTTTAATAACATTTTAAGTTGAAGTAGTAGTAAAAAAATTATAAATGTGTCGAAAAATCTGACACGATTCGTCGGTAGAAACTCTCGGCCGAAGTTATTCAACTCTTCAGATACAAGTTCTATCTGAAGTGAGTTGTATAACTTCGTTCGAGATTTCTTACAAATGGATGGTGTCTAGTTTTTTCGAGATTTTCATGATTTTTTTTACTACTGTTTGTAATAATTTGAGATTTATTGTCCGATGAAAAGAATCTTTTTTTGAAAAGCAATAAGTATTGTATTCGGTGGAACTTATATACCAACTTCTCTTTAGAGAGTTGGGTTCGATGCTAAACGTGACTTGAGCTACAACAACAAAATTATACTAGAATATCTATCTCTCTTTACTACTTCGATTGATTAAAATAAGAATTTTCAAAAAATAAACAACATTAAGTGTTCTTTGATACTTTTGATCTCGATTCGATCAAGACAAACCCAGTATATTTAATAAAAATTTATTTACAAGAAGACGCTGCTGATCGCGCTCATTCTGGTCAGGAATCATGATCGTGATTTAATTCTTCGACAAGCAAAATGAAAATAATATAATGAAGCTTTTTAATTCTAATAAGGATAAATCGAATCATGTTTTCCGTTAAGTCAAACCTATTAACAGATCCAATTCTATAAAGGATTGAGGACTCATAAAAATGTAAATCGGTTCAATAGTAGTAGTTTCTTTAACTCATTTTATTGAATTAGATATCAACGGAATGAATATGCTGAGACTAACATTTTGGTATTATTTTCATGATGTTTTGAGCGATTTTTGAAATCAAAATGTTTTCAACAAAGTAACTCATATTTGATGACTAACATAAAATTCTATCACATCATCATGGATAGGAATGCACCAATTTCAATTTAAAACTGATCCACTAGTACTCATTTAGTTGGTTCAGTAGTATTTGATTTTTTTTCAAGTTAGTTTGATGCCATAAGCTTGATGCTTTCAAAAGACTGGCAGGTTATGAATGATTTTTTTGCCCGCTTACTGATTTCATACTGGTACATGCCTAAATCGCCACTAGTTATCATTGGTGCTGTGCTTCTTTATTTAATTAAACTAATGTTTAAGTGTCTATTAATAAACCTCATTCATATTTATCGTGATTAGAAGCAAAAGAAGCAAAAAGAAAAAAAAACTAAGCTACTAATTATCATTCAGAACATAGTCTTCGTTCCACTAGTAAGAGTTTTTCTACATTATCATTCACAAATAACTTTTTTTTATTACAATTTATTTATTGCTTGCGTTCGCTGCAGTTAATTATTTGACTATCACATTTCTTTTCATTGTTTCTTATGGTTAGATTGATTTTTATTGATTTATTTGCACAGTTAGAAGTCAAGATCAAGAAATGCTAATCGTTAAAATAATTCCTAGAGAATTTTTATTGATTTTATAGAAATGACGAAGAACTCTACTCGATCAATTAAACAATTGAATCAATCGTGATGATCAGTATCAGATTTTATATGTACTTAAATCAAATGCTTTTGATATTATCTCACACTTCATAACCCAATAATGCTAGTCACGATTACCATTAATTCTACAGTATCCATATGTCGAAGTCACTTCTCCTTATACCTTCAAATATAAAATACAATTGTTATATTCACGGAGCTTTTTCTAGCATCAAACGATCAACTAAAAGATTCAAATATAGAATAATCCTAAAAAAATTTCCTATAAAGTAGCAAGTAGTTGACGAATCGTTTAACTTTAACAGCATTTGCATGATGTGTTGCAGCTACTTTTCTTAACTATGTTCATATAAGATTTGCTACTGCTAGTAGTGCCTTTTGGGTACTATTTACACTGACGCCCGTCCACATCTTGTTTCTGTTAATGAAGAATTCTGTAAACGTTAAAAATACGATTTTGAGAGAGAAAACTATTTCTGTCTGTTACAGTATAATTCATATCCATTGTAAATGCGTTTGAAAAATCAGATGCATTTTTAGATCTAGTAGTATAGCTGAACTATCAACAGGTAACTACGATCTTATAAGTTAAAAATATACGTATTATTTATAATATATCTCATCAAATAGAGTAGATCTACAATAATAAATAAAAGATTGGCATAATAGAAATAAATATAAAAAGGTAGTTCACAACAGTACGCCTTGATTATCAATATAGAGAAAGAATGAAATATATTTTATTAGTCTATGATGTTTATCCTCTGAAATAACATGAACAGGATAATAAATTTATAAAAGTTATGACAAAGATCAGAAAGATCAATTGCTACTACCGACTAAAAGTTAACGATAAAATAATTTTCTCTACATATGAATTTCATAAGAAAAGAGAAAAAAATAATAGAAAACATTAATCGAATAAAAAAAAACCTAATGTAGAAGTACTTAGACCCTGATGCATGTGCGAGTAAATTATTAATCATCCAGTTTGTTCTGAAATATGAAACAAACTTTTAGGAATCGATGCAAGTAAAATCATATATCTTTTCTAACGGCATATTTCATCTTGCTCAGACTTATTTTGAAAAAGATTGCTGCGGTAAGATTTT